GAGGGAGGGAGGGAGGAAGGAAGGAAGGAAGGAAGGAAGGAAGGAAGGAAGGAAGGAAGGAAGGAGTCATCTAGTGGGCAGAAAAGCAATGGAGATGGGAGAATCTATCTAATACTGCTCATACGGCTATCACCTTAAGCAGAAATTAGAGCCAAAGAAAATGTTTTAAAAGACCTCACTCAGTATTATTTCTCTTATATTTGATTACTGCGCCTATGAATTTTGCCACGGAGAGGGTGACACGATCACTGGTATCCGATAGTAGCCGTGACACCTGGGTTTGCACATTTAGCAGTTCCGGATCTTTAAGTAAAGGGGTGACAAAATTAGCCCTCAACATCGAATATAGGGCACTCCATAATCATAGGTTCAATGGTTTCGACTGCACGATACGAGCACCTGCATGTTCTATTAGAGTATGATACTTTATTATATCTGCCCCCCAAAACTGCTGAGGGAAGAAAGTTCAGTCTTGCCAAAGTAAAAGCTCTTCTTAGTTCTGGGGCTGTCAATTGATAAAAAAATATTTAGGCAGTTGCATCGGGAGGGCGATTCCCAAACGAAGTGTCAAACATACCCTGCGCGCCCTAATAGATGTCCAGGTTAATTGGGGGGGGAAATCAGTTAATATCTCCTTGCCATCCAAACACCCCGATGCAAAAGAGATGGCCAGTTTTTAAAGAAAACGGGCAATGGAGACAAACAAGACGACTTGCTGTTTCTCGACTGATAGTTAGCTGACAAGAGAGCAGTTCTGGGCAAAAAGGATGTTCGTTCAGAAGTGGTTTGCCATCGCCTGCCTCTGCACTGGGATCCTGCACTTCCTCAGTGGTCTCCCATCCAAGTCCTAACCAGGGCCAATTAAGGTGGACAGGCACGGACTATCCATCTCATGTATTTCAGCCTAAAAGGGAAGCTTCGTTACTGGAGAGACAAGAGAAGCCACAGAAACCTGTTCATGCAGATTTCAAGATGTTGGTAAAGGTAAAGGTTCCCCTTGCTCAAAAGCCTGTCGAATCCGACTCTAGGGATGCGGTGCTCATCTCCGTTTCCAAGCCGAAGAGCCAGCGCTGTCCAAAGACATTTCCGTGGTCATGTGGCCGGCATGACTAAATGCCAAGGCGCACGGAACGCAGTTGCCTTCCCACCTAAGCAGTACCTATTTATCGACTTGCAATTTCTTGCTTTCGAACTGCTGGGTTGGCAGGAGCTGGGGCCGGAGACGGGAGCTCACTCTGTCGCGCGGCACTTGGGTCTCGAACTGCTGAACCACCGACCGAACATGCGCCCCACCGAGATCAGGGCCCTGCAGGATCTTCTTCAATTCTGCAGGGCCTGTAAGACGGCGCTGTTCTGCCAGGCCTACGGCTGAGACAGCAGGCATCTCTCTATGGCCTCCCTGAGGTCCTTGTCACCCATTCACTAACAGCTGGCTATCACTCCCATCTGATCAGAGTCCAGGAATCCCTCGCAACCAACCAATTCCATTCTTGGGCTGTGGCCACCATTTTAATGCCTATTACTGTGTGGTAAATTTCAACTTCATTTATTGTATTACTGGATGTTGTGACCTGCCCTAAGTCCACTTGTGGGAAAGGCGGCCTATAAATACGAAAAATAAATAAGTAAATGCTGATAGGTGCACATTTCCCACCCAGAATTAATTAATTCCACAGAGCAGAACGACTTCGAGCTGTCTCTTTAAAAAACCAAGATAAAACCAGAGTCCATCAGTGCCACAGAGTCTAGTAACATTTATTCTAGCATGCTCGAGTCACACGACGCGACACAACTACCCACCTGGAACAAATGATATTAGTCTTTCAGGTGCCCCTATTTTATTTTGCTTCCAGAGAGGAATGTGCCCACCCCTCTGAAATATTGAAAAACACACATCTTTTTTGAAGCGTTTCAAAAGCTCCCTGGAATGCTTCTGGCAAACCCCCACAAGGAAGCCACTGAATAAACTGCCCGTTTTGGAACAGGAAATGAGTCCCATGATCTACCCTTGCAAGCAATTCAGGTTCAGCGAAGCAAATGGACGGAGCAAGCGCTCACCCAAAGTTTAAAAACTGAATGGAAAGAAAAAAACTGAATGGAAAGAAAAAAACTGAATGGAAAGAAATGTGGCCACTTAAAGAAGAGTTTCTACTTCACTTCTGCTTCTTATTATTTTATTTTGTGGTGTATTCTTCGGTAACCTGGAGAGCACGAGGTGACCTTAGGCCCCGTTGCTGTTAGTGGGTCAAGCTTGCCTAATGTTCGTCTTGTTTGACTTCGGAGACCCAGCTTCGTACTCCGCTCAGGCTGTTTGAACAGGCGGCCGACGCAACAGACCCAGTACGTTTCAACAGCAAATCCACTATCAGGGGCATCCATCGCACAAACAGAAAAAACGACACAAAACCTTATTTCGCTGTGACTAAAAACCAAGGGGAAATTCCACCATTGCTTTTGTTAGTATCATTTCCTGGCTTCCAGACAAAGGAAGCCAAAAAAAGCTCATGCAAACATTTCCCCATTATTGTTGTTGTTTTTCGTTCATCACCGGGCATGTGTTGTTTTTTTAAAAACAATTTTATTAGGATATATCAATAAGTCAAACTATACATCATCTTATACCCTTTTCTCCTAGTATCCCCCCCCCTTCTGACTTCCTGCAGTGCTCCAACCTCCAGTCCAAATCTTATATTTTTCCTCTTTTTTCCATTCTTCAATAATAAAATTCTTCAGGTAACATATCTGCCGGGGGCATGTGTTTTTAATTCTGTCCAGCAAGTGCTGTAAGTTACCACTTGGGATGTTTACACAGAATTCTGCAAAGACCAAAGGAGGTCCAGTGGTGGGTTGTTGTTTTTTCCAAAGGAAGCCTGTCGTTATCACGTCTTCAGGGAAAGACAGGAAGCCCAAAACACAAATGTAAATCCATCTTCCCATTCAGCCAGAAGCACTTACATACAGGATTTAAATCAACTAAAACTGAACGTCTGTCTCCCCCCCGCGTGAACGAAAAGACTCAAGAGGCGTCTGTTGTTTTTCATGCCTACACTGGCGCTGCCGTATATCTTCCCAGAAGCCGATGTAATATGCACGCTTTGACCTGCTCAACAAGCTCCCCAATGACTACATACAACAGGCAGCAAGA